GCCTGAATATCTGTGTTATTTGGACAATTAGTTAATGGATTTTTTTCATATTTCATGGTCTAATTTTGTTCATGGTAAGTTGCCCATTGATTTTTTTCATGATTTAAATAGATTTTTTTTTGGTTGTGCCATTTGTCTCACCAATATTTCTGTTTTTATTATAGAAATGGTAGCAATGATAGTATTTAGAGTTTGGTGGTCATAGCATGGACTTTCATGTTTAAGTTTGAATGATAGGTCTGGTGTAATGCTCGCAGTCAGGTTCTGTTACTCTCACTGTGGATGATTAACAGAGATATGATACAATTCTCACACCAAAATTGGTAGCAACTTACACTATGCTAGGCCAAGCAGAATTCAGGATATCCTAAAGTGATCATTGTTCCTTTAGGTAGTGGTGATTCGATGAAGTATTGGGAAGGTAAGTGTAGTGATCAAGATTCAGTGGAAGTTCTCTGCCACATAGAAGCTATTTTCAGAATTGTTAATGGCATGTTCATCCCAGTGACCACAGTGAAATTAACAGGAAATGGAGACATTTTTGCTAATTGACTAGGTTCAAAACATAGGGGAATGCACAAACCTTTCCTGTTTCAAAGGGCAGTTTTTTAAAGCACTATGACTACCCCACATTATTCCACCCTGAAGAGGCAGTTGGTTGTTCCCATCACAGAGATGCATTCCAGGGTACAGAGCTATGCAGGAATGTAATGTGAAGCAAAACGCAGTTGAGAAGACATGAATTGCAATTATGAATGGCAGTTTTGGATTGCAACAAAAAAAATCAGTTGGGTCCATATCTATTAAAGTGAAATAGATTTTAGAATATGCCTGGATTTTCTACACAGGAATTCCAGAAAATTTCTTGGAATTCATAGCAAGTCAAGGCCTTTTCTCAGTTACGAGATTTAACTAAATGAAAAGTCAAATAAAATAATTCAAATTAATAAAACAATAACATTTGTAGAATATATTTCATTTGACAAACATACGCAAAGTACTGGCATTATTGTACTAACTTTTATTTTAACCCTATGAGATTAGCACTTTGTAATATCCCTTTAACAGCTGAAGAAATTGAGACATGGAAAGATCAAAAATTTCCCCAAGGTCCAACAGTCAGTATTTGGGACTGGGATTCCATAGCCTGTACTTTAAACCATGGTTTTCTTTTTCTTTCTTTCTTTCTTTTTTTTTTTTTTTTTCATGGTACCTCTCAGGCTTTGGCAAAAGAAAAGGGAAGTCTGTATTATTCTCTTTTATTGCATGCTGTTTATTCAAAGGTCAAATTCATATCTCTTCCAGATGGATATTTTGTGGTTGTTTCTGGACCGTGGCTTATGATTCTTCCCAGGAACCCCTTTGACTTAAGGTGCTCATATCCAACTTTAAAAGTGGCCCCATCTAAGTAGCTTAAAATGGTCTGGGGCCTGTTTGAAATCCTTTCAGTAAACATCCTACTGGCTTGGGGTGGTTTGGGGGTTTGTATTTAGTATTAAGTGTCTGCTACCTGCACTCAGAAGATAGCTTGGTTTTATATCTCCCAAACTGCTTGTTGCTAAAGGCAAAATGTCGAATGGGGACTGGTGGAAATTCACCGAGCTGTAGAAATTAGGTGCAACAACTACATTCAAAGCAAGCGGCAGGTGTTGTAAATCTGAACTTTGTTTTAGAGGAAAAAGAAAGAATAAGTAAAACATGTGACACTATAAGCTGCAACTTGCCAAGGTGAAGACAGGTTTCCTAAAGCAGCAATTAGGCCTTTCCACAAAAAAAATCGTGCTTTCTTTCCAATCGCACTTAAAATATGTGTGTGTACTACTAGTCAAACAATGCCCTATACCTTGTGCGGTTGTGTGAGGGCAGCCTATTGAAATCCTTGCTTAGTGTATACTAAGTTGATCTTCTGTATATGAAGGTAATTGAAAATGAAACTCGATGAAGGGCGGGATGGGAGAGGGAGTGGGAGAGGGGAGGGCTGCGGGAGGGAGGGAGGTTGGTGGGGGGAGCCACAACAATACAAAAGTTGCACTTTGTAAATTCACATTTATTAAATAAAAAAAATTAAAAAATGAAAAAAATATGTGTGTGTAACACAGGTTCCTCAACAATCATGTTCTACAAGGCCATTGCATCTCTTTCAGGGCATTTTTCTTTCCCCAATATTTATTTTAAAAATTTTCTGTTATATTACTTGAAAGGCAGAGAAATAAGGGGAAATCCTCTATCCAGTACACTCTTTAAATGCCCCCAACTGTTGGGGCTGTGTCAGGCCTAATCCATGAGCCAGTAACTCCATCTGGGGACCCAGTCACTTGAGCTGTTACCTGCCACCTCCCGGGGAGCAAGAAGCTGGAATTGGGAGTGGGGTCAGGACTCAAACCTAGGCACTCCCATATGGGAAGTGGGCATCTTAGAAGGCATCACTGTTGCTTTTCAAATGCCCACCCCTCTTTCCCAGCATTTGAAAAAAATCTTACTGTTAAAGTAATTCATGTTAATTGTAGAACATCAAGATACATGAATAAAATAAAATGTTATAATACAGAAATAACCACTGTTAACATTTTAGTATACTGTATCCTGCGAATATTTACTTTATATACACAGACACAAGTTTCAGTGTAAACTGTTCTTTTTAGCACGGAATCTTTCCATCTTATTAAACATTGCTTGACAGCCTTGATTTTAGTGGTCATTTACTATTCTGTGTGTGATTATTTCATATCTTAACCATAACCATGTGAGAGAAATTGACAATTTCCAGTTTTACACTGTTGTAAGCAACGCAGCACTGAACACTTTTATAGCTAAATCTTGGTACATATTCATGATTGTTTTTCTTAAAATAAATTCCTGTAAATGAACATAATAACACCAAGAGCTTAGAAATTAGACTGCCCAGTTGCTTCTCCAGGTGACATCAGTTTACTTTCATGCAACATGACCTTTCTTTCTTTTTAAAAAATATTTATTTGAAAGGCAGTGTGACAGAGGAGGAGAGATACAGAGAGCTTCCTTCCGTTGTTTCACTCACCAAATGGCCGCGACAGTCGGGGCTGGGCCAGGCTGAAACCAGGAGCCAGGAGCTCTTTCTGGGTCTCCACATGGGTGGCAGGGATCAAAGTACTTGGGCCAGCTTCCACTGCCTTCTGAGGCACATTCGCAGAGAACTGGATCAGGATTAGAAAGAGCACTGCTATATGGGATGCTAGCATCACAGGTGGTGGCTTAACCTGCTGCACCACAATGCCAGCCCCCAACATGAGATTTCTGATCATTCTTTGGAGCAGTTTAGTAAACTTTTACTTCTAGACACTATATGTCCAGTGGACGGCCAATAGGCTGATTGTCAGTCACCTTTCTACTCATTTCTTTATGTTTCTCAGGCTTTATATTTTGCAGTATGGCACTTCAGTAAGGTTATTGTAAAGGAGATCAGTGGTAGACGAGCAGAATGGAGAAAGTAAGCACGTGGGGCCGGCATAGTGGCATAGGGGATAAAGCCACTGCCTCCAGCACCTACATCCCATACAGACATTTGTTCAAGTCTTGGCTGTCTCACTTCCAATCCAGCTCCCTGCTAATGCGCCGGAGAAAGCAGGGAAGATGGCCCAAGTCCTTGGGCCTCTGCACCCACGTGGGAGACCTTGTTGAAGTGTTCTCTCTCTCTCCCTTCCTCCCTGCCCCTGTAACTCTTTTCATTCCTATAAATAAGATAAGCCTTAAAAAGGAAGAAGGAAAAAAGGAAACACACTATCCTAGCTGGACTCTCGTGGCTATAGGGCTTTCGTTGTGACAGTCCTATAGCAAGGAAAGAAGTGATGCTCTTGTTTTCATTCTGTTTCTGTATGAGAAACATCATTATAACGTATGCAAGCAAACAGACAACAACCAAATCTTGTGGGTTGTTTCAAAGTCGTGCCCTGCTCAGTGCGTCTTCTGCATTGTGTGTGTTTCCTCAGTGAGCCAGCGTGGCCTACTGTGGTGACCTACCAGGACTCTGGTCTTTAGACCCCAGAGAACTTGTTCAGTAATTGAACTGGTCTCCTGGAGGGATGACAGTTGCTGTCAACCCTTAAGGGACAACTTGAAGAAATCAAATCCCAGCCTTTTATTTTTAGAAAACACGTACAGTGGGCAATCATTTCTTTCCCATATGTATCTCATATGTATAAAGGAGCAACGTGACTACTTAGAGGGCTAGCTCTAATAATGAAATGAAAAATAAATATACTTATTCAAATAAGATGAGTCTACTTTAGATAAAATAGTGTTATTATAGAGTACCAGCCCTTCATTACCCAGTTATGTAATGACACTTCAGCCCAAACTGCTTTAATTTTAAATAATTTACTTGTAGAGTCATACAGAAGAGAAATTATGTTTTCATTTCTTTTGTGAACAAGCAAAAATAAGTAATTTAGTGTGAAAAGTCCTAGGGATTAGACCAGATGAGCTAATGTGGTTCATTGACCACAAATAAGAAAATAGAGCTCTGATAATAAGACATCTAGCAAACAGGTATAGTTAAAGCAAAAATAGGTTTTGTAACCTAAATATGAGCCTAAATATTAAGTCGCTACAGGAATAGGCTTAGTTCAAGGATGTATACACCAGAGTTATTATCCATTATTCCTGGGACAGCTGGAAGCTGTGTAGCCTATGGATTGAGTATAAATATGTCAAAACTGGATTGACTCAATGGTTATTTGAAACTGGCTTATCTAAAGGAAGGCTTTCTAATATCACATCTTTTCTTTATAAAATATAAGTTGGTGCTCCACTAAATTTTACTATGTTCTAAATGCCATCTTTCCTCAAAATCCCTCAACTCAAACTAGTTTACTGAGGTGCATACACCTCTTCTTAACCACAAATAAAGCAGTTAAGGATTCCACAGCAAGTTTTTTTAATGCGTATTTTTGGTTTGTCTTTATCTTGTCCTGCACTCTGAAATCAGTTCTAAAAATCATAGCCTCTCTGATTCTGTATTTTAGCAGCAGAAGACCTTTGTAAAAACATGAAGGTTGGCATACTCCTGGAAGGAAGGAAGACTTTGAACCATGAAACACACACTGATCATGAAGTTGGTAATATCACTGGAACTCATTACAGACCATACCCAGGTCAGTGAACAACCTCATCCAGTTGGTGTTAGAATCATTTTAACAGGCCTGAATTTTTGAGTATGGCAACAAATCAACCAAGATGATGTGTGGATACCCAAAAGAAGGATCTCCCAAAACAAGAAAATGCAGTGTTGTTCTCTGTACCTCAAGGAAGTAGATACAACAATAGGAAGAAAAACAGTTAAACCTCTTTTGGTGCACAAAGCTCGCCGGGCTCCTTAATGTGATAGTAATACTTCTAAATTCTGTTTCAAGATGATAACCACTAACTAAGTCCAAGAAAGAGAATCGTGCAATACGGTGGCTCTTCACTGGTGAAATCACTGAATTGTGAGAGGTTCGGCTAAGGTGCTGCGGCAGGTTCTGGGAGGAGGGAGGTATTGCTCTTCCTTCATTCAGAGTAGCCTTGTTTTTTTTTTTTAATTTTTTTAAAAAATGTTTATTTATTTGAGAGGTAGAGTTACAGACAGTGAGAGGGAGAGACAGAGAGAAAGGTCTTCCATCCGCTGGTTCACTCCCAAATGGCTGCAACAGCCGGAGCTGCGCCGATCTGAAGCCAGGAGCCAGGAGCTTCTTCCAGTCTCCCACATGGCTGCAGGGGCCCAAGGACTTGGGCCATCTTCTACTGCTTTCCCAGGCCATAGCAGAGAGCTGGATTGGAAGAGGAACAGCCGGGACTAGAACTGGTGCCCATATGGGATGCAGGCGCTGCAGGCAGAGGATTAACCTACTGCGCCACAGCGCCGGCCCCAGAGTAGCTTTGTTTTAATCTGAGCTGTGCCTTGAAACTCTAAGTCTCCCTTAAAGGAAGATTTACTTGACAATTTTAACAGTGTTAACAATAGCAATAGCAATATTAGGGGGCTGGCATTGTATCAAAATGGGTTAACTTGCCATTTGTGATGCCAGCATCCCATATTAGAGAGCTAGTTCAGGTTCTAGCTACTCTACTTTGAATCCAGCTCCCTGCTCATGCACCTAGGAAGGCAGCAGAACATGTACCAAGTACTTGGGCTCCTGTCACCCATGTGGAAGACCCAAATGGCATTGCAGGCTCCTGGCTTCAATCTGGCTCAGCCCCAGTCACTGCAGCCATTTGGGGGGTGAACTAGCAGATGGAATATCTCTTTCTGTCCCTCCACACTACCTTTTAAATAAACATTTTTAAAATAGTTAACGACAGTAGAAAAACACCAGGTAATACTAAAAATGTGATCTGATTATGCTTAAAATATGGTCAGAATAAATAAGCCACAGACACCAGCATTGCAAGATGTTCTAGTGTGCTTATGGACTATTTTTAGAAAATGAGGTTAGAGTAGCCCTGTGCTAATGCAAATGAAATCTCAGTAAATGCTGATGAAATTAATTAATAAGGTAGTGAAAGAGAAAAGAGTGTTGGATGAAAGTTTGAAGATCTACATTCAAATTCTAAATACTTTAGGGTTTTTCTCTGAGCCTCTGCTTCTCAAACTGTGCTGGAGGAATTATTTACACTATATCAGTCTTGAGCGCCTCTCTAGCCATGCCTGGCATTCGGACCAGAAAAATGCATGCTGTATTGGGAAGGAACTGGAAACAGCAAATGCTGAAGGCCAGACCCGTCAGTAAAGATCAAGTCACCAGCAGCATCTAAGGTGCCCAGCATGGCTGCCCTGGCAGCTGTCTACCTCAGTGCTGTTCATGAACACATTCCCACAGGTGCTCAGGATGCCTTCAGCCCCATTTCAAAAATGACAAAACTGAGGTTCAACAGGGCAAGTACTTTGCTTCATGTCTCCCAGCAGAACAGCTGACATTTTGACTTGCATCTTCAGACACCATCACCCCACGCACTCAAATATATAAGAAGATTTTATAACCCAAGGGGAAGGGGAGCACAAAATGGAAGGAAAAGTCCACAGAGCTGGGTGGCTTGGCTCTCCTTTCCCGAGAAGGAGGCTCGTAACCTAAGTCTCATAATTTCCCATCCAGAGTTCCATGCATGAAACTTTATGGCCTCTTGAAAGGTGAATGAGTAGGTTTGATTCATTGGAAGTCAGAAACAGCTTTTTAAACATTTGGGAATCGAGATAGGTAGTTAGTCTGCCTTGTAAAATTTTCTTATGGATGTCACCATCAGAAAAATTTATCTTAGCCTAGTATACTGCAAAGCCTATTCAAACCCATCACATCTGCAGCTTCAGTCATTGTTCATTGAGGGTTTTAGCATTAATCCTAGCTGCCTCTTAATTCTTGTGATCTGGGAAAGTAGCGACTTGTTTTGCTATCACCAAATTTCATCCATGTAAAATAGGTCACCAAGGTGTCACATTTTATGAGGTTATTTATGCCACCTCTCTCTTTTTGGGCTGTGGTTTCGCAGGTTATTTTTCTTCTGTGTATTAATGAGAGGAGTTCAGGATGCTGAGCTTTGTTTATGGAAGAAATTGGCGTCTGTGAAGCAGAGTAAACACAAATGTGTACGTAATGTGAAATACTGACATACTTTCTCCGGCCATGAAAAGATACATTCTAACTTTACATAATATTAATTAAGAAAATCTTAAAATAAAAAAATTATTCCATTCTTGATTTCCTAATTTATTTCTAAATTTACTATTCATACATGTAACTTTCAAAATAATTTATACTTTAATGATTTTGTGTGCATATAAATATGTAGATACACCCATATTCCAGGATAACAATCAATTATTGAAAATTAAAAAAAAGTCTTGTCCAGTAACTGTAGTTTCTAGACATATGCACAAGATAATTTTCTATATATTAAAGATGGTTAAAAACACTAAGAATATGTTTATTAACATACTAATAACTGTAAGTTCTAGCTTGTCCTAATTGTTTCTAATAATCTTGGTGGAGACGAATATCCCAAAAAGTATGTATGTGTTGAAGATAGAAAGCAGGTTGAAAAGTACTGATTTATTACAACCCTTCATTAAGGTTAAAAGCATTCCAAGGAGATGAAGACATCTGCCTTGTATTTTCACATTGCTGAAGAAAAGTTAAGGACAGGAAGAACAAAAAGGAAGAAAACAATGTTTCAAGTAGAATTCAAGCCAGGTTTGTAGAAAATAATTCCTGCTTCCTATGTATAAAAGTTTTCAAAAAAAAGTCATCACCAAGTGCATGCCTGTCACCTATATTATGCCACCAAATAAGTTTCATACTGTTAATTGACAATGAAAATCATACTATATTTCTTTAAACTATGTTTTAAATTTTTACATGTAATCAACACACATATATTTCAATGGTTTTTTCTTTCTTAAAAGAAATTAACAAATAAAGCTACTACCAGAAGGAATTAAGATGGGTTAATTATGTAATATGTCAGAAAAAAGGTGTTTGAAGTGGACCATTTCTTGTTCTTTTAAAGGTAGTGCTAGGTAAAGTTGGCAATTATAGGGTTTAGTGAATAGTCACTTGATATCTTGGAAATCAAAGGAAAGAGCCGCTGGAGAGAGGCTGAACATAGCTGTTGCAGGATTTTTATCTCTCTAAATGAGTGCTACTGACAGGAACCATATGTGTTGCTTACTATAGTTAAGGAAGAGAGCATGGGTGGCTTTCCAAAGAGCTGTGAGCTGCATGTGCATGCATGTCTACCTGTGAGCTCAAGGACAAATCTGATGTATTTATGATGTTTAATAAACACTTAGAGCCTTGAAGCCTTAGAGCTTGAAGACTGTGTGTTTCTCTCATTTAAAGGATTATACATGAATATCCACGTTGGTTTTGCCTTGAATTAAAATCAATCTTTGTTCTTAGTGCTTGGTGCTTGTCACTACTCCAAAACACTCATGAATGTGTTTGGCCCCCTTTGAAATGACAGAAGATTAAGTAGTTCCTAAGAAAGCTTATGTTTAGCCCACTTGAAAATAAGAAATAGTTTAAGCAGAGTCCATCACTCCAAGGATTTCACTTAAGTAATCAAATGAGTTTACTTCATATTGTGGTGTGAAGATTCTTGCATGGCAGGCATTTTCCCATGAAAAGCAGTTGGTAGTAACATTTTAATCCAGGTTTTAGTGGCATAGCTCTTTCTATTCTTTTAATTTTAACCTACTTTTATCATTATATATGAAGTGAGTTTCTTGTAGAAGCATAGTGGAGGAAGATGTCATGATTTTTTAAAATCCATTCTGATCACCTCTTTGTATTCAAATGACATACCATTTATATTTAATATAATTGATAATATAGATTTAGAACTTTATATTTTTTATTTATTTGTTCTGTTTTCCATTTTTTGTTACCTCTTTCCTCCTTTAGACTATATGAACATTTAGTTTTTTAATGGTTCCCGAGGGATTGTATTTCATATAATTAACTTTTCATAATGACACTTTTACCATTTCAAGTGGAATGTAGAAACTGGGCTACCATGTTGACCCTTTTGTAAACCAGTCAATGTTATTTTTTCCTTTTCAAGTAGCAAATATTATTTTTTTGGAGAAGACTAGTCTGGCATATGTTCTGGCATCTTCCATTTCTGCACGTTTTTTTCTTTGCTTTAGTTTTCAGTAATTTGACCATGAGGGGTCTAGGCATGCATTTCTTTGGGTGTTTCCTGTGGAGAGTTTGGGAAAGTTCTTGAAGCTTTTAGCCATTGTCAGGAAGCTTTTAGCCATTTTTTCTTCATTTTAACACCATACTCTTTCTTCTCTTCTTCTTAAAGTTTAATGAGATGAGTATTAGGTCTCTCCTTATTATCCCATTGATACCTGACTCTTGGGGTACTTTTAATCTGATTTGTTCTTTGCCGTTTAGTTTGAATAATTTCTTCTTACCGCTTTTTCTGTTCACTGTTTCTTTAGTCATCTCTGTTCTGCTATTGAGCCCTCTCAGAGTGTTTCTTATTTCAGCTATAGTAGTGTTAGTGCTGAAATTTCTGTTTCTTTGTATTTTCTGGCTTTCTGCTGAGAATTTCTCCTTTTATTTATTTTCAGGGAGTTCATTATTGCTTGTTGGAGCATGTTTTTTGGTAACAGGTGATTTAAATTCCAGTGTTATCTTTGTATTGGTGTTTTTGATGATTATCTCTCATGTGTATGGCATTTTTCTGCTACTTCATAGGTTAAGTAATTTTAGATTGTATCGTGGAAATCTGGAATATTATATCACGACACTCTGGGTCTTGTTAAGGGACTATGGAGAATACTGATATTTTTGTCATCTGGCATTTGGCTTGATTATACCGGGCTGCAAGTTCCAACTTGCCTTCTCTGGGCTGCAGTGCTAGTTCAGCTGTTAAAGCCAGTGCTATCCAGATTTGTCCCAAAAGTGCATCACCCAGCAATAAGTCTGGTTCATGGGTAGGAGTCTACTCATTTTTTGAAGTCTTGTGTACACCCATCAAGATGAAATTCATGCTTGTGCAGCTTTTTGAATCTGAGAGATAATAATAATAATAACAACAAAATCTCTAGGACTGGTTTCATAGGCTATTGCTCTCCACAATCTCTCCAATGCTTTTTGGTTTCCAGTCAGAATCTTGGGGTCGCTCATGCACTTCTGCAGCTGTGCCCAGGTTTAGAGCTTAGTTGGTGGGGAGTGATAATGGGAAGCTCACACCAGTTCAGTGATACTGTACTTTGGATTTTTGTCTTCTTCCCCAATTTGTTGTTTTTACTACTAACTTTTCGGAGTCCTTAAATAACTGCCCCATCCATCTGTTTTACAGCTGCATTCTTGTGGCAGCAGGTGGAGTATCTTTTCTCTGTCTTAGTCCAAACCTGAATCTTAGAAGTGACATTTTAAAGCAATACTTTGTTACAATAAGCTTGTCAATTAAATTTTCAGATGTAGGACATTCAATTAAAAAGAAGATCTCAGATATATAAGTACTAAGTCCCTTAATGTTATAAAGAATGTCATGCTTAAGTAACGAACCAGGAAATAGCTGTAACAAAATCAATATACTGTCATATAACAAGATAGGCATGACAGTATAGTTTTTCAGATACCTCTAAGATTGTCTCATTCTGAATCTTCCAGCATGTCTACGTGGTGCCTCCATAATGTATCATACTATGATATCATAAAGTGGGATTTTTTAGCCCACATATATTCCTTTGGTTTGTGTATACGTGTGTGTGTGTGTGTGTGTGTGTGTGTGTAAATATATTAAAAAAATCTGTTTGGAACTACATTTTTTTTTACAGGCAGAGTGGACAGTGAGAGAAAGAGACAGAGAGAAAGGTCTTCCTTTTGCCATTAGTTCACCCTCCAATGGCCGCTGCGGCCGGCGCACCGCGCTGATCCGAAGGCAGGAGCCAGGTGCTTCTCCTGGTCTCCTATGGGGTGCAGGGCCCAAGCACTTGGGCCATCCTCTACTGCACTCCCTGGCCACAGCAGAGAGCTGGCCTGGAAGAGGGGCAACCAAGACAGAATCCAGCGCCCCGACCGGGACTAGAACCCGGTGTGCGGCACTGCAAGGCGGAGGATTAGCCTAGTGAGCCGCGGTGCCAGCCTGGAACTACATTTTCTAAAAGGAGTAGTTCTCAGACTTTCTAGTCCCCACCTTCAGAGTGTTGTCTCAGCATTTCTACAGTGCGATGCAAGTATTTTCATTCTAATAAGACATGCCTTTGGGGGCCAGAGTTGTAGCCCACTGCTCGCAACACAGGCATCCCATATGGGTGCTGGTTTGTATCCTGGAAGGCTCCACTTCTTTTCCAGCTCCCTGCTAATGGCCTTGGAAAAGAAGTGGAATATGGCCCAAGTGCTTGGGCCCCTACCACCCACATGGTGACCTGGAAGAAGCTCCTGGCTCCTGGCTTGGATTTGGCCTAACCCTGGCCATTGTGGCTATCTGGGGAATGAACCAGCTGATGGAAGATTCTCTTTCTCTGTCTCTGTCTCTCTCTCTCTATTTCTCTCTTTCTCTCTCCCTCCCTCCCTCTCTTTAACTCTGACTTTCAAATAATTAATTAATTAATTAATAATTGCCAAATGATCAAATGACATTGGTTTCAGTCAGTCTTTAGAAATGGCTGTCATAAAGCAATGAATAGAATTTTATGTGACCCAACAAAGGCCTAAATTGGAATGTGAATAGAAATAATGGACCAAAAAGAAATTCACTGTAGCCTTGACTTGTCACGATATTTTGAATTCCTGATGAAAAAATATTTTGAGTCAGTTAAATTTCTGATGTAGAAAACATCTGTTTATACACCAAGTGCATACCCAGTGTATTCATATTAATATTATAAATTGACATGAGAATAATTCATTCAACCAAATTATTTGATTTTTCCACTGTCAGAAAAACTTTAAAATTCGTTACCTTAATTTCTTCTTACACATTTAGATTCAACTCACTTTGAATCTAGAGCAGAAGTTAGTGTGCTTTTCTTGTGACCCAAACCTACCTCGGAGCCTGTTTTCATATGGTAAGTAAACTAAGAATGGTGGTTACATTTTTAAATGTTGTAATAAAAGAAGAACAAGAAAAGGAAGTGCCCCACAGAAGTTGTATATGGCCCCCAAAGCATAAGATATTTATGATCTGATCATTTATGGGGAATGTTTGCTACCCCAGATCTAGAGCTTTGTCTGCTTACATCAACTGAGCTTCTTGAACTGGTATAGGACAGGGATTAGGAACATAGTTTCATTGTCAGATTGTCCTTGTTCAAATCCTGCCTCAGCTAAACGCTGTGTACAGCCTTGAGCAAGTGAACACAATCTTGCTTTGTATTTGTATGCTCATCTATGAAATGAAGATAACAAAAGAACGTAACTCATAGGGTTACTGTGTGGTTGAATTAGTTAATATATGCAAAGTCCTTGGAATAACACCAGGCACATGACAGGAAACAGATATTAGTTCCTTGATAGAATACAGTGTAAATACTACAAGTGATCATATACTAAACATTCACAAAAATATATAAATATTTCTCTTTCATGGTAACTGAAAAAAAAAAACAAAGCACAAAACGGTTTGTAACACTTTGTGGAATAAATAAAATATAACACTATTTCAAGAAAGTTCATAGAAAATGAAGTTAAAGATAACAATTATGTACTTGCAAAGAAATACAGAGAAGAAACACTGTAACTTACTAACAGTGCCCCTATTTGTTGAATGGGACAGTGGATGATTTCCTGTCTTCTATATTTCCCAATTTTTCCAAAATGTACTAGGCACTTCAGCTTGATGGCTGCACCTCAGAAGTAGCTTATACCCCTGCCAATGTGCTTATCTCCAAGATAGGATACCAAGATGAAGTAAGGCTGCAGAGGTCACCATAATTCTGCCAGTATTTATTTTGGTTTCTGTAAGTTGGGCCCTTCACATTCTTTGTACATAGTTGTATTTAATTAGGACCCGAGCTAGCCATAAAATGTGCATTAATTGTCTGTTATTTCATAAATGATGGCCAAAATAACAGAGCTTGATAGGAATAGTTTGGGGGTAAGCAGTATGTGGTCTGTTCATCTTCCAAGTCTCCCTGCCCCAAGCAAGAGATTTCTATTTGTTATCTCCTTTTATCCTGGAGAATTACTAATCCTGCACTACCATATTAAGTACCAATTAAGCGGAGATTTGTCATTCCTGCTTGAGAACATTGAGCTGGGATGTGGCTGCATATTTCACAGATTTCTGACAGGAATTATTTTAATTAGACTGCTGCTAGCAGCATTTAAAAGAGTCTGTATGGCCGGAGAGAGGAAGAATAGCTCCTTAGTCAGATAATTTACTTATTTTTCTTTTTCACTCGCCATAAATCTTAGAGTGTGGTTATTAAACCTTTGGAGGGGGAAGGGGATAGTGAGGAAAAGAAATCAGCCAAACTTTATCTTACTTTAAATACCAAAAAAGAAAAACCTCCCACAGCTCTACTGAAAAAGACATGTTTAAAAGAAAAATATGTTCAAGCAAGTTCTGTGTGACACCAACAGACTATTTTTACATTATAAATATTTGACACACTTAACCAGTAAACACTATGCATGAACCTTTTAGGTGAAATCAAGGTGGTCAAGTCCTTTCCTTTGCATCTTTGTTCTTCTCCCAAAATTGAAGTCATTATTTTGCAAATATTAGCTACTCAAACACTAGGAAGCAAATTAAATAAGTAACAACTGAACTGAAGTCTGCATTTAGTAGACCTTAATTAACCAGAACATAACTTTTGCAGTTTTGCAGGAATACATTTTATGTTATGAAACCATTTGCTAAGATGAGAAATGGGATGAATATAAGTTGTTTCTGTCTTAAAAATTTTAAATCAGATTTCTCCTCTCACTCACCAAAATTTCTGAGCAGTACTTAGCTTGTTGGCGTGTTACTCAGAGTTCCAATATTTTGATTTGTTTATGCAGATCAAATATATTTGAGAACATATTCTAAAAAATGCTACAGTATTTAAGTATAAAATGCATATTTTTCCTTTCAGTTCTTTGCTCCCACATATGGGCTAATGTTCTCTCTAGGGAGCAGCTACAGCCTCATCCTTTTATCTTCAATTGACATATGAGACATTTCCAACATGAAAACCAACAAATTCTCAAAATAAAGCATGAATCCAAAACACATAGGCACCTCAAGGCCTATAAAGAACAAGTTAAAAGACCCTTTGTATGCCCATTATTTATCATTAAAAATGAAAAAAAAAGTATCACATGATGAAATGGGAAGATTGGACAAGTAGAGCTGTTTTGGCTGCAACAGTAGGAGAGATTTGCCCACACATACCCAACAAACCTCAGTAAATTGTCCTTCAGTCTGCCTGCCTACCACACTATTTTAAACTGTTTATTAACTACTGAATCTGTTTTCCTTTTGTAAAGAGGAGACATGAAGGCTTATTTGCATTTCTTTTTTTTTTTTAAATTTTGTTTATTTGAAAGGCAGTGAGAGAGTGAAAACCTCTTATGTGCTGGTTCACTCCCCAAAATGCCCACAACAGCTAGGCCAAACTGAAGTTGGGAGCCAGGAACTCAACTCTGGCCTCCCACGTGGGTGGCAGTAATCAAGCTACTTGGGCCAATCATCTGCTGTCTCTCAGAGTCTGCGTTTGTAGGAAGCTGTAATCAGAGCAAAAGCTGATACTCAACTCAGTTACTCTGATATGAGATGCAGGTGTCTTAAATGATGTCTTAAATGCTAGACCAAACACCTTCCCCAAAGCAAATTTTTTAAAATGTGAATTTCTGTTCAGTAATTTTGAATGCATTTTTCTGCTTCTATGTATAGTTTCATCACAATTTTACTATTTCAAGCATACCAAATTTGCATTGCCTAGTACAGAAATTTTAAATGAGTGCTTTTTTTTTTTTTAACAGGCAGAGTTAGACAGTGAGAGAAAGAGACAGAGAGAAAGGTCTTCCTTCCGTTGGTTCACCCCCCCAAATGGCTGCTACAGCCGGTGCACTGCGCCGATCTGAAGCCAGAAGCCAGGTACTTCCTCCTGGTCTCCCATGCAGGTGCAGGGCCCAAGCACTTGGGCCATCCTCCACTGTCTTCCCGGGCCACAGCAGAGAGCTGGACTGGAAGAGGAGCAACCAGGACAGAATCCGGCACCCCGACCAGGACTAGAACCCGGAGTGCCAGTGCCGCAGGTGGAGGATTAGCCTAGTGAGCTGCGGCACTGGCAAAATGATTGCTTTTAAAAATGCCGTTGTTGGTAGAATCCAAATGAGGGAAGCATATGTGCTTGCAATCTCAAGATGAATTTCTGCCATGTTTTAAAGCCATCCATCCTCTTCTCTTTGCCAACATATGTTCATTCTAGTATCTTCTACAATGAACCAGTTTTATCTAAATTGACCCCTAATGTTCCATGCAAACATCATAGGAAAGAATTTAGCAGTCACAGGCCTCAGATCTCACACCATGCTTGAAGACTTCCTGTCATGGCATGTAGATTCACATAGCCCTTGAGACTAACACAAACCCTAGCTGCTAAAAAACATCGCATCAGATCCACCATCACCATGAAGTCAGGAATAAGCCCCTAGGTTTCTTCTGAATTGCTATCAGATGTTAAGGATTAAAATCTTGAGGCTGAACCTCTAATCCAGTGATTCTCAGAGCATGCCCCCAGTTAAGGTCAGCATCAACTGGAAACTTGTTAGAAATACAAATTCTTGACCTTCACCCCAAACCTAACTAAAGAGGAACTCTGGGTGTTGGGCTCAGGCAGCTGTAGTTCCATAAGGCCTCCAGGGATTCTGGTGGTAAAATTTGAGAGCCATTGCTATAGCCCAGACTTGACTGCCCACTATAATCATGTGGTGGTGAGCTTTGAAGACTACTGATGCCTATGTTCCACCACTACAAGTTCTAATTTAATTCTGGGGTGGCCCTGGAATCTATGTGCTTTGAAAGCTCCTTGGTGATTCAACATGTAGTGAGAATTGAAAACCACTTTAATATATATGTAAAGAAAAATGTCTCCTTTTTCTTGCCAACAATTAGTTACTGCCTAGGCATGTATCTTCTCACATGTTGGATAACTCTCTTTGTCCTTCTATTCCATATGGATGATTGAGATTTGTTTTTTCTTAGCACTTTCACAATTTTTAGCCCTTTATGTTAACAGAAAAAGTTTATTGTTTTCATCATAATTTTACCTTTACCATCCTCAAGATTCTTAGTGATTTTGGAGTTATCAGCTGTGATGGGTTAATCATATTTATCAGTGTCTCATAACAAACTCTAGATACAGCAAATGTAACTTTTATAACATCACATCAGATCCACCATCACCACGAAGTCAGGGAATAAGCCCCTAGGTTTCTCCTATTGATAGCAGGCATATTACCCCATTTTGTGTTTGTAGAATTATTTTGTTCCCATCTGAGATTTTTTTCATTAGACAAGCTATTTTACATGGTTTATTTCTACATTTCCATTGGGAATTAAAAACATATCCATACGTGCACCTTGATTCTTACTATAATGACCCACATAAAATCTTTTGGTACTTATACCAATATTACACTTACTCATTAATCTATTTAACAAATATTCAGTAAGAAGATACCACATATTCAAATAAACATTTACAGAACAGTACTTGACATTGACACTGACAGTAGTTCAACAGATATTAGAAAATAACTACCCATTACAAGCCAGTTCAATATAAATTTTATCAAGAGTTTCCCATAAAGTCACATTTTAGGGCTGTCACTGTTTGGTGCTGGTTCACTGTTTGGTGCTGGTGGTATGTAGTGTTGACCCATTAGACAAAGGCAGTACACAGGGACACAGCATCTACTTTCCACTGCCATCAAACTCAAGAGGTGGCTTAGACCTCTGCTATTTTATACATAATCCCAGCTCAACTAATCAGATCCTTATTGAACAGCATCTATTCAGCACCTTCTATGTAGACGGCTGGGCACTGTTTCCAAATTGCCAAACTGTAGCAACAAA